AATATATACTAAAGAAATATAGCTGCGAGCAGCGATGGCGGGCCCAAGCCGGAGGCACCGCAACCCCCGGTTCCTTTAGTTACCTAAAGGCACCCGGGTGGCGGTGCCGAAGGCTTTGGCCCTTTCATGATTAAATGTTAAAGCGCGCTTGCCATACTCTGTCATTTCGACTAGTCACAATTATGTTACAGATTCTTAAATGATAATACAAACTATCCAAAGTGTAACGACTAGACAGAAAGACGTTGTTGATATCTACAATGTTAATCCGGACAGGCAAACTTAGCTTTTAAATGTTAAAAGGGCTTGCCATACAGGGACGTAGGCTCAGAGAGAGGCTCACCATATTCAGACCAAAATATCTGACTTCCTCTTGGTCCGAGCTAATGACTATGTATTAGAAAGTTGTACGGCTTGAGGAGTACAATGTATATACCGATTTTTGTAACTGTAGATAAAACTAACAACCAATGTAGTAGCACTTCTTCTTTTTTGATTGGCTGATGCGTAGCAGGGTCGACTGCTGAACTCCAGGCGAGACGCGCTTGATTCTCACGTGAGAGCGGCGCGGCCAGAGAAATTGCGTATATTAAATATATATTAAATAGTTTTCCGCATGAGAATACAATGTGTGACGGGAGTGTGAGACAAAAGACTGAAACGAGTGACTGTCATGCTCAATGCGTGACACACTATAAAAAATATTTCACACTGACTCCACATTTAGGGGGCCACAAGGGGTCCAAGCTTGTTGTCGCAGGGCACTGGCCCCCCAGGCCCCCGCCTAGAACCGCCATTGCTCAACACACACACACACACACACACTTTCTCTCTCTTCAAGAAGCAAAAACATGACTGCTAAAGGTTGTATCAGCGATGGCGGGGTAACATCACTTAACATCACGAGTGCTATTCCCTTAGGCCACGCCCCCTTGTCTCCCCAAAGTATTATAAGCATCATGCGCATCCCGTGTGCAGAATGATGCACTTGAAGCAACACCAAGTCACAGCACGCAACGCTTCACATTGAAAAGAACATAGCGAAGGGATGGTATCTATAATCTATGCTTAGTAGGGCTGCACGATTTGGGAAATGTCATATTGAGCCAATATTGCAATTGCGATTTGCGACTCCGATATAATAAAATGGTTTTCATGAGTCCCAACTTGCTTGTTCTAAAGTAAAATGCACACACAGATTAATGTTTATTTCTCAACTCAAACTAAAAACAACAACAACAATAAATGATTGATAACACCTATAATGATCAATAAACCATCAACCAAACAACATTACAGTGATTCCATCAATTGAAAGCCATCAACTTTTTAAAAAATTATTACGCTTAAAAAAATATATAACAGCTTTTTAAATTAAGTGAACTTCAAACAATCCCCCACAAACCCATAATAAAAAACATATTTACCTGTGCCCTTCCTGTCTTAAAGGTACAGAAATTGAATAAAGTTATCAAACAGTCTGCGCTGCCTGAATCATAAATTATATATATAATAATCCTTATTAAAGCTACAAAGTTCTTTACTCAAGATCAGTGAGTAATTTTCTAATTTCCCTTTGTTCTTTAACTTTACTGAAAGAACGCTTTATTCGCTGCTGGCCCTTTAAGAGCACCCGTTGCGAGACGCGGATCTCACACGCGCCTCATAGCACAACTCTTTTCATCCATAGACTTTTCTTATGTTATGAAGATACTAGACAAAATCACATTTTGGCATAATTGTGTGTGCTATTGTTCGTTCAAGCTCGAAAGAGAACTGTTTATTCTGGGCTGGCACACGGTCAGTGCATGCGCATTATGCGAGTCTCATCTATTCTAATCTAGGGCACTCACAGGCAGCTTTTCACTTCTTGTCGTGCAAAATGCGAAAAGGCATTTGAACCAATAAGAGGGGATCTTGTAACACTAGTCAAAGGATGACAAAAAAGAAGAGATGCTGCGCTAATAGCCCTACTTTGTTTATTTCATATAAAATCGCGGCATTTTTGCGTTATATAATTGCATAGGTTTGAGATCGCTATTACGACTGCGATATAATTAATCGTGTGCAGCACTAATGCTTAGTGTATTCTAAAGGGCAATAAACTCCACTCCAGCAAGATAGTCATTTTATGCAAATCATAGACCTTTATGCCTTATCTACAAATAAAGTATAATATTGGGAACATTGATCTTGAAGAGAGTGTCGTCGTGTTACTGTCGCAACCGAACGCGACGCGCTAATGCTGATGCATGGAGAATGACTGAGGCGAGATGACTTTCCGTTAACTTTAACTTAGAGACTAAAATATTAATTTTACCACACATTAAGCTATTGAATGACTTTAGAAGTCTTGGAAATATAGTGTGAAAACTTGATTGTGCTTTACAGTTTTTATGCCTTTAGTGGGGCTTAACAAAATAACACAATATGCAGAATGTCGGACGTCACTTATAGGCTAAACTGTTTTTATAGATAAAACTATTTACATTCGGCAGTCATGAAAACAATCTCAGATAACGGTTGACTAGGTAACAATGTGTAATTTTGCGCCGGAGTTCTCCTTTAACTTACATTAGCTAGCTAACTACGAACGAGCTAACCAGATAACATTAACAAATTGACAAGCACTTACTGGGCACAGTGGGCAGAATGGCTCTTCAAATGACGGACGAAATTGGAGGTTGTCATCTGACTGTCCGCGATCTTAACGTTGCATGTCTTGCAAAGCGCTGTTCTTTTGCCATCTTGTTGTAAGAAATTCTTGAATCCAAAGCGACGACGACCCTCGTTATCCTCCGGCTGACATGTTGATGTGATCTGATGTAAGTGGGCGTGGTGTGCGCGTAAGGTATGAGAGGGCATGACTGATGATCTCGTGATCCAGTCATGACAGCGCTATTCTCAGCCTGCGCTCCAGCTGGATCAACTTTATTTTTTTACATAATTTATATATTTTATATTCAAACTGAAAACATGATGTGATTAACACTCAAGTCATATTATTACATGCAAGTGTGTTTGATTTATGGACCAAATTTTCAGATCAAGTTTATGGACCAAGTTAATTTAATTAATAAACCTATAAAACTATTAATGCACTACAATTAAACTGGTTATATGCCTTTACTTATAAAAAATAAAAAACTTATTAAAAAAAATACCAGGCTTAAGGCATTTATTTTTTATGCAGGCCATACACACAGGAGTGAAATGGTTAAGACCCCTCCCCCTACAAACACACACACATACACAGACAGGCAAAGACAGAGATGTAGGCTCAGATTAAGCAAGACCACATTCAAACAAACATATCTGACTTTCTGTGGGTCCTAGCTAATGAGTGTCAATTAGAAAGTTGTCCGGCTCGAGGAGTACAATATACATACCGATTTTTGTAACTGTAGATAAAACTAACAACCCTACTTTTGTCAAAAGGTGGCGCTACTGAGCCCTCACCACGCCCGTTTCTGAAACATTGCACGTGTCTACTGGCTAATAAATGTGATGTGTCTGTCGAGTTTCATGCATTT